CACAAAATCAGAGCCTCTTGTCAATTGCAAAACAAAGCTGCACAAGCTGAAAAAATTGGCAAGTGCTACTGTAACTTACCATGTTCGTGTGCATTTTGTATGCTTATATACTGTTATACAGGTCCCAAGACACGATATTCTGTTAGAATCAGCACAGAACTCAAATAGCTATACAATTGAGAGGCAAGTTAAACAGAAACAAAAAGCTGATCCAAAAAAATTTCCAGACATGGTGTCACCTGATCCTCCATAGGGGCAGAAGTTGTTTTTACTAAGGTGGTCCAATGAACAGCTGAAAAGGTCAGAGTGTGGATTAACATTTTTTTGATTTCCCATGGAGTCTTCTAAATCCATGCTTGCAGAGGGTATTCTGGCAAAGCTTTCTATATGAAACTGATACTGCCTCAATGATTTTTCCCTCAACTGAATTTAAAAAAAAAAAATCTATCTCAATAATTTAGGTATGTCAGAATATGTACAAATTTAGCAAACAGAAGGTTCAGAGAATTACCAACCCTTGACAGTTAAATAGACTGAGAAATACAAATGTCAGGTGTTATGTAGGTTCATTTAAAAAAATAAAACGGAAATTAAATGATAAATGGTTTGCAGTTCTCTGAAAATGGCTCTTTGCGTTTCAATTTTACAAGTACTTTGCTAAGGCAACATCAGAGGATTAACTAATTATTTTGTTCTGTACGAAGAACATGGGGAACATGCGAAAAACATTAGAAGCTCTTTTTTTTTTTTTTCTATTTAGCCATTTTATACTAGAAAGAAGTAATACGAAGAGTGTTGAACTTGGCAAGATCATTCCAATCCTTGGTAAATAGTTTTAGGTAGTCCTTAAAAACAGAGTATTAAAAACAAGCATCCTGACTTCTGAATTCACTACAGAACAAAAGAATTTCTGACCTCTGCCCCCTTGGGTTTTGAGCAATTCTAAATAAAAAGTGTCAGTCAAAATGCACCTGCACATACCTAACGCAAATTACCTTTGTCAGTATGGGTGCTAAGTATAGTGTACGATATTCTGCATAGCTAGGTGCTCTGAAAGTGGACAGAAAAAAAAAAAAAATCTGTTTCAGTTTCACTACACATCCAGAAGAATAGCAGTGCCCCAGGCCAATCCTTCCTCTCAGACCCACAAAGATTTTTAGCTGTGCCTACGAGCCAGCTCAAACCCCCCCATTAAGCCTGTACTCTCTGGTCAAACTATGGATACGAGATTAATAAAGTACTGTATCTTGAAACATCCTCCAGTCTGCTTATTTTGCAGTTTAAGCACACACCAGTCAAGACTGGAGTGTCTTCCAAACCCATCTTAAAGTTAGTAAGTTGTATAAGTTCTAGCCCAGCATTTTCTTTCAAAACTGGGATTTCCTTTTGGTTGCATATATTCAGCCACCTGCTTTTAACTCTCTACTGCCCAAGCCAAAAAAGGGAAAACTTGTTTTATGGCTCTTAATCAGTCGAGTCCACATGGCAAACACTTCATGTGTATCTGGCAAACATACAAGACTTCTACATTATATGGACTCCAAGGACCTGAGTCTTATAGTAACACCAGTTATTTGCACCTCCCTGGAAAAGGTCCCCTGGATGGTGGCAGGGAGGGGATGAGTCGGACTGCTGCTCAGCACAGGAGGTGCATCAGACACAGTAAGTCCACTTGCTGCATTACAAGGGAAGAGTGGTGAAGCTCCCTACACCATGGCTGCTTACCTGCACTGTGAAGACTTCACCTGTACGCCAGTGCATTGTTTATGTGCCTTCTGGAGGGAAATAATAATTTAAAGCACAAATAATACATTTCACCTAGAAATAATCTGTCTGTATTCATTACACTCACCTGTAATGAATATGGAGATTTCCACAGAACATAGGGCAAGTTCAAACAGCAATGAGCAGCTGGAGGCCTCCCCTGAAAGGAATCTTCTGTCGCACAAGCTACTGCGCAGCAGCTAGAGGAAGGTGGGGCCTGGTTAATTCCTGTCTGTTAACTGAAAGCTGAATGTAGTGGAAATTCCATCAGTATCATAGGAAGAAGCAGTCTGAAATTTTCAGCACAGATCAGACCAAGGTATTCTGTCTTAAAGTAATTTAAAAATATTGAAATAAGTTTTACTGGCATTACCACCACTTCCACTTTACAATGTAGTATTGTGAGATGGTTTTAGGATGCAATCTTTGCATCAGTTTTGGCCAAGAAAATGATCAGAAACTTCTGAAAGAGCCTTATAGACAAAGATTGAATTTTTAATGTGTTCACATGCAGTTTTGTCATGAAAAACAAAGGAGGCCTATTTTTGTGTCTCATTCCATGATCAAAAAATAACACGTCGTTTCTTTTACTTCAGAAGTCCTTCCAGTTCTGAGGGAGGAAGACATCTCCCCAGGAGTCTCAGGGAAAAGACATACACAGGTAAGGGAAAAGCTCAGGTGAACTGCAGTGTGGTATTCTGGCTCAAAAATAATGACTAACTGGACAGAGATACAAGGATATGTTGGAACATGAAACAAGAAGATGATACCAAAGGCATGATGATGCTATTTGGGAAAATGCAGCTCCTAGCTCTTGCTGCAGGATGACTGCTTGTAAGTACAGTCCCCCACAAACTATTACAGGATAAAGCCAACAGGCACTGGACAACTCCAACATTAAGACAAGCAATGAGATGCTCAGTGAAGTGGCATAGTCAAATCCAAACCATTCAGTCCGATCCTGCATGACCAAAGACTGTCCACAGAAAACACTACAGCAAAGACAGCAAGAACACTGCTATACAATTCTTGGTTGGATGCTAAATAGTTACTTGCTTTTGAGACCCATCTGCACTTTTATCAACTTTTCTGTGCTACTTTACTTGTTTTGCACTTTTGATATTTTCTTATAGCCAGATGGGATACCCAAAAGGGTTTTATAAGGTTATCTTCTTTTTATTATTAGATCTATTTTGGTTGCACTGTATGTGGGTGAGTGAATGATTTGGAAAAAAAAAAAGGGGGATCAAAAGGTTGCATGCAATTGATTCTGACTCAACGCTACTGTAATACCAAAATATTTATCCTCATTTAAGTCTGTTGGATACCCTTACACCAACACTATTTACCCTGTTTTTGTGGCATCCAGCTGTTGGATTTAATAACTTCCTTGCTTTCTATACAAGGATCTCAAATATTGCTTTAATAATTACCTCTTTCATTGAAAGCCTAGCAAAATGAGCGGTCTTTCAGATTTCAGTATTATGGACTCCTCCAATTTCTATCGATAGAAGTTGTTTTGATTTGGGATTTGGAATTACTTTCCTCCAAAATTAGCAGAATTAAATTCTGTGATAATTTCAGGTTTTGTTTTCTTAGTAAGGATAACTGGGAGATCAAGCTGCAGCAGATGGTAATCCCACCGGAGAAAGTAAAAAAGGTCTTCAAATAGCTTGGAATTGTCCAATTATATCAAAGTTTATAGAGACAGGGATATTATCAGCTACACACACGAAAACTCATGATCTATGCTAATTGTTTTGTGGCAATATTAAAGAAGAATAGTGAGAATGTTAACATAGAAGAAGAAAATGGTGATAACACACAAAAAGTCTTTCTTGTTTAGAAGAGGGCAAACAAATTCGATTTAAAGTACATATGACAATCCTAAGAGGTTAGAAAGACCTTCCAGGGTTATAACAGTATCAATTTAATGACTATAGAATTTTTCTAAAAGTATTTTACATTGATAAATACAATCTGCTGATTATAGTATCTTGGAACAGGTGGTAAGCAGCTTTTAGTTTGTTGGAAACTCATGTAAATCTACAAATCCACACAGTAAGAGTTCATCTTCATTTGCTTACCTGCAGGTATTAAAAATTTTTGCATTAGAATGACTTTTTTTTTTTTTTAAAATTGGTCCACAACCCAAGGTTACTTAAAAACCTTAATGGGTATCACAATTAGAGGAACATGCTTTAAAAGTACAATAGTACTTAACAGAAAAAGGGAACGCAACTTTTCCAGGAAAAGAAGCCTTAGAGGACTGCTTTACACATTTGACTTTTTAAAGTGGGCAGTCAGTAGAACAGCTTTGTGAGTAAAATAAACAGAACTTTAAAACCTTTAGGAAATTAAGTCCTTTCTTCTACAAAGGATAAGATTCAATAGACAATACTGAAAATAGATCAATCTATGAGGAACTTTATATTCATCTTTTAGGTAAATTTTGGTGGCAGTTGGAAAGCAAAATTTCTCAAGGATAAGAAATGATGAGAAATAAAATGTGGTCTGTCTTTTTAAAAGGTGACTGTAATCTCACTTTTTTGCTGTCCTAATTCTGAATTGGTTGTATGTGTCCAGCATAAATAGGGACAAACAAAAGTATATTTTGAAATCTAACTACTTCTAATAAGGATGGCTACGATGCTGTAAGAGCTGTTACACTAGCTGAACATCTTGATATCACTTCACTTGCAAAAGCATGCAAAAAGGATACTGAAGACAGGAGTTGTCTCCGTCTTTTACTCTTTCCTCTTTTTCTTCATTTCTGAGTCTTGTATGGGAGGGGCAAGAAAAATACGCTTCTAGAAAGCAGAATGTCTTTGATTTTTCTGTAAAAGGCAGGAAGTAAACGGCTGTAAGCTGAAAAAACCCACATGCTGTTTGGCATACTTGAAGTAAATCCCTCTGTCATCTTAAGGGAAATAATACTTCTTAAAATTATCACTGATTATACCATTAGCTTCTTCACTGTTACTGGTAACTAGTTTATTCAGCAAATACATTCACAGACAACATTTTATGACAGTACATCATTGCATTTCTTTCTTATAAGATAGTGATGGTTGGGAAAGTTAATACAGAGATAGATGTTCTTTCTGTGGGTACTCTGGACAATTTCAAAGTATTTGAGCTGTGTTAACTGAGCGAGATTGCCAGACTGAGATTGCTGGATACAAGATCTCTTAAAAAAACCCACTTTAAAAAATTCATTTCACACCAAATACCAAGTTAAAAAAGCGTACATTTTATTTTAAGGGAAGTAACCAAGTATCAGATGTATGATAACCGATCTTACAGAAGCTCTCAAACACAAATGTTTCCTATTTTACTTGTTCCTTTCTTATATTCTCCAAGTGAATAATACCAGTACAAAGAGTAAATTCCTTCGTTTTACTAGGAAAGAGACATTATGCTGTGAAGTTTCATATTGAAGGCAAATGCTTATTTTACATTTCAGTTACCCAGAAGAAAATTTTATGATCTCCTCCGACTGCACATAATGGAAGAGTTCTATGCCATGTCAAACCAGATCCTACAGCTGCAGTGCCAGTAAGAATGGGCTTTAAAAAAAGAAAAGAGAGAGAAATATCAATAAAACTTACCATATAAATGATTACTATACCACATATACCAAGTTGCATAGACAAATAAACGCTGCAGATTTAGTACTCCTTAACAAATACAGTTAAAATACAACAGAAATCCAACTGAAAAATCTGATTATCTGTTACTTAGTTCCAGTAGCTACTTACTAGATTTAAGTAAGATGCAACAAAATATTCCATGATAACAAATTGATTCAACTATTTTCATTATTATTAACACTATTATTATTTTAAAGGCATATTTTCGAACTTAGAAACTTTTTTTAATGGAATTACTTCCTGTTATTTAAGTGTACTCACAACTACTATGTTTGGAGGTAATATTTTTACTGTAAGCGTTACAAATGTATACTAACTCCAGCAAAACCAAAATATTTCCTCTACTTTACGTTCATTGTCTCTGGATATATTTTTGTTAATGATTTAAAATATAATTAGTTCAAACCTGTAAAATACACAACTGGCTGGTTTTAGCCTCTTTAGAATTAGAAACACTGGAAAATTTATTAAATAACAGGTTAAATGTGTTTTTCTTCCCCTTAGCACTGATAAGGCAAAGCAAAATAAAACATACAAATAAAGCAGCATTTTAAATAGCAGGTTAAGTGTGGTGTGATTTTTTTTTTCCTTAGCATGGATGACACAAAACAAAATAAAATAGGTAGACCAAGCAGCATTTCTGGATTCTTTAGGCTAGTTTTTAATTGTAGCTTTTAACTACTTATGAGCCTGATTTGAAGAGAACAGATGCAATTCCATCCAAAAGCTGAACTCAAAAATTTACCTGGGGATGTCCTAAATGATGAACAAGTAGTTGAGTAGTTGTCTTTCCTGGATATCCAGTGGTTGCAAACAGATTTTCATTCACTTGGGACCACCTATGAATAAAATGAACGTACATTTAAAATATCCCTATCAGAGTATCAGAAGTGCACACAAAGTGGAGTTCTCTCCCTTGTGGTTAACTGTGTGAAGCTGTCAGATATTCCACTAACACCAGAGAAATAAATTCAGAGAAATGGCTTGCAAATGATTCACCACTCACAGCCCAGTATGCATGTCGTTGTAAAACAGAAAAAAAAAGAAATGCTAAATGTAGGTCATTCACAAATTTCACAAAGGGGGGGACCAGGGCCCCCTAAAAATTATTTAAGTGAGACACAACCAGGTCCCTAAACTCACAACTGCTTGCATATATACAGATTTATATAGACAAAAAACACAGAATAGAGCAACACTTATACCTGAATAATCTGGCTCGATCAACATGGACGGGTCTTTTATCCTGTGGATAACTAAAACAGACATTCAGGGTAAACAACTGCAAACAACTACAGCTCATACTGGAAGTACCAAAAGCATGTATCATTTAAATGGTGAAGTGGACACATTGTCCACTCTCTGTGAAGAAGCTGAGGGAAAACCAGAGCACTCCTGCAGCTTACATCTCAATTTGGAGTAGGAAAACTGAAGTAATTATCTGGTTTATTATGGTTCAATAATTATGTATTTATGACTTAAAATGAAATTTTAACAAACACATAAAACTTACAGTGAGAGGTAAACAGTAGTGAGGTGCTATCTCAAATGGTCAAAAAGACAGACAATGTTATTTTTAACAGAAAAATATTGATAGATAAAGATGAAACAAAGAATGCCAGGGAATGATCTGTATTGATTTCATAATTCCTGATGAATGTTCATTTATTTACTGAATAGGTGATATAATACATAATGCATTTAAGTGCTATATTAGCAAAGTAGCCACGCCTCTCCATGTACTGCTTAAGAAGAGAATAAAGAAACCTATCTCGTGTATAAAAATACCTGGAGCGAGTGATATCCCAGATTAACCAATCACTTCCAGCAACTGCTCCAATTTTAAGAGTATTTTTTAAACACCAGTCTGCTGACATCAGAGGTGTTTGTTCACACTCTAGGGACAGAATGGCCTGCTGTGTAATTAGATCATAGAATCGTATTGTTCCATTCTTCTCCGCTACCATCAGCTGTTAAGAGAAATGAATAGACCGTTGTAAACTTAGCATGTAATGAATCTTAGTATCTTTTCTACTCTATAGCAAACCTAGCATACTTTCAAGCAAATATGAATAATATTAAAATAGGTACAATTTTTCACTTTGTACCAGAAAACATTCTCCTGAACACTGTTCCACCAATAAATAAAAAGCACTTTAATCTATACTACTGTCACATTGTTATACATAGTGTTTACATTATTTTATCTATATATATCTTTAGATATCTATGTATATAATTTTGGCGCTTAGAAGCACCAGTTCTTAATGACAAACGCAGTGTGCTTTTAGAATTGTAAAGCAAAAAGTTATTATTTTAAAATTAAGAAGTTCCTGTTCTAAGTACAAAGAACTGACTGTCAGACATAGTGCTGTACAAGGAAACAACAGTCTTGATCAATGTAACTGGAGAATCTGGATTCACGCTTCCTGATTTTATATACCATCTCTTGCTTCATCCTAAAACATTTTGCAACAGATTTAATCTAAATTTTTTCTATTAAAGTAATACATTCAAGCAGTTTAGTAAGTATTGTAGAAAGAGCTTCCTGATTAAATGATGAAGGAGCTTTTCTCCATAAGGAGATGATGGTTCTCAGATAGCCATGAACAATAATTAAGGAAGGCAAAGAAGCATTAAAAACAATACTCCAATAACATCCAAGTTTGTTTGGAAAAAGAACTGTCACCAAAACATGCTCTTCTGCAAACTAAAGGACATGGTGCAGTAAGCATTTTGACCTGCAATAAGCTTTTCAGCAACCATTAAGTCTGTCAAGTTTTACTAGCTTTTTGAAGGTGTTTTTCTTTAAAAAAAAAAATCTCCAGTGCCTACTCTTTGATAAGGGTCAAAGAAAAGAAGCTAATATGTAAGATTGGTGTAATATTGCAATATTTTTGGGCTAATCTAGTAATTTTGTTGTGCTAACAGAGTTGCCCAGTAGCAAACAGTAGCAAACACATTCAATTGTGATACCACCTAAATCAACAGTCTTCCTAGTTTTCTTAGTAAGGACCAGATATTGATGTTGGTGGAAAGTGTGGTAAGAATAGAGATCCTTCTTCCCTGTTGCTATGTAAATATTTTGATACCTTATTTGACTGCTTTTCTCTGTTTTAAGTGTGTGTTTTTGTGGTAATCTGAGCAACTATTTGTAGCTGCTTAAGGCAGTTATTGATTGGCACAACAGGAATAATAAATCCAAAATTGCAAAGTCTAGACCATTAATGAGGCTGAATATTTTGGTATATATCAGCTGATTAATCTTCCCCAGTACAATAAACAGGTAAGTATAAAATCACAGTTTATTTATTCGTTTTGATTTTTCAGCATGTATTTCATATATTCCAAGCAAGAACAACAATAAAAAAATCCCTTGCTAACTTCAAACAGATACTTTTCAAAACTTGGCATGCTTTATAGGAGTCTATGTTGTTGGTGAACTGTGTTACCATGACTGAGAAAAACTTGAACTTTTCTCTGGTAACTGTAAGTTAACATGCAATCAGCAGAATAGTTATCCGTAACAATTGATGTATGTCATCAAGAAGGAATATTTCTGATGGGAGGAGTGAGGGACTGAGGCTAAAATGATGAGAATGGGAATGAGAATTCATTTACAGTGACTTCACATTAGCAGATCCAACCCATATCCAGTTACAATGTACACTAGCCCCCCAAACGTCAATCTTTCTACAGCATCAAAGATTCATAGTTTAGGTAAGTCCACCCTCCTGTTATTTTAAAGGTGGTGAGGGTGAAGAGCTGGAAAACACAACCTTAAAAGCCTCCTCAGGATGCCAGCAAACACTCATTCCAGGAGAACGTAAAACAAAATGGGCCTTCTCATTTCCTTTCAAATCCCAGACCCTAAAGCAAAAAAAAAAAAAAAAAGGCAAACTATTAAACTATTTACTGCCATTTGACTGCAAATACGTTAACCTTCAGTGCCTCAATACATTCACAATGTGACCAAATGAAATAGTGTTCATGCTTTATCACTTCAAGAAGAAAACAGACTAAGAGAAAACCTAGAATGAAATTTGCAGACGCTTAATACTTGTGCATAGAAGTCAGTAAAAGCGGTCAGTGCTGAAGCTAATGTATTTTAACATTGATGAACTAGGCAGAGCTTCTGTTTAAAAGGTCAATGTCAAAATAATTTGACAAGTTTAGTTGTCTAGACATGAAATCTGGATGATACGTTCCCACTTTATTCATAAGTCAACACTACAGCCTTTGTACTATACCATAAGTAACTGTGAGACAATACAAAGCAGGAAGGTCAGTGTTGGTCTAGCTGATACAAGCAACCTAGAGTGAAGTACCAAGCAACTTAAATCATCCACATTACCATGTAAAGGAAAAGACCATGCACTGAAGTATTTTGCTTGTCTAATGTATGAATTTCCATTTTTTCCTGGTAAGACAAGATTGAGTAATGAAAATAAAAGAAACTAAAAATGAAGCTAAGGCAAACAAAAGGATCTATGGCAGAGATAACACTAGCCCAGAAAGGGTCTTGGTAAGCTTTCAACAAATAAATCACATGTGCCAGTTTAATCTTTTCCTTTAGAAGCACCTACAGTACACATCAAGCAGTTAAAAATTTAAAAATCAACAATATTTGGTCAATATGGATTGACAGGGAAGTGTATGCTGGAACACCAAAACTAGGTTAGGTGATGAGTGAGTTTTCTTTGGATGCATTCCACAGAAGTGTTAACGAGCCATGAAGCTACTCGGTTTATAAAATGCAACAAAACCAAGACTGTTTTACCTGACAGCCACTGCTCAACTGCCTCTCTTCCTACAAAATCAGTAGCTCAGTTGTGGGACAAAGACATCACAGTTGTGAACATTAGTCTAAACCACAAGGCTGCATACTATTTATATGCATTTTCACATCAAAACACACACATATATCCTTCCTCCCTGACACGCAAAACCTTAGAAACAGCCAATTTTTTAAGTACTGTTCTGCCCAGTCTTTTCAGTTAGATGAGTGGCTACGTACTATTATTGTTTATTCTAGAGGATTTTTGCTGACTTCCTCCAGACTTACTCAGTTTATATCTCACCAGGGTGCTTAGAGCCTTATATTTAAGAGATTTCAAAAAACTCTTAAATAATACATCATAAGTCTAGACAAAATATATGGGAATAAAGTAAATATATTTAATGAACAATGTTGTTTTCTTATGCCAAACCACAACAGATCAAATATTTGTTTTCCCTGTGGAAAACACAGGGTCTCTAATCTTGAAGGATCAGTGTCCTTATTAAAAAAAGTCAAAACAAAAACCTGACAACTGTTTAAAAAATGAAATATCTACTTGATTAGGTAATTTAGAAACATACAATACTTTCTTCTAGTGCCAAAAATTTTGCCTTGTAGATTTGTCCAAGTCAAATCAACACTTTCCATGTGTATTTACTGTGCAGGGAGAAAATTATGATATAACAGAGGACGGTGAATCATTTTGGCCAAAGGAGCATGCCATCATGTTTCCTTCCCTGAAGTGAGTGAGGTTATTAGGTGTTGAGACAGAAATTTATGCTTTCTACCTCCCTAACTTTGTTATTTATAAAATGCCAAACTTGTATCTCTTATTTTGTAAGATGGTAAAATTGTTAGTGACAAACAGTATAGGAGAGTGAAAAAAGGATAAATGCCCCTCTTATATTTTCTTCTTTCTTTATCGATAACAAAGATGGTATCATTTAGTTTTGGAAAAAAACCCCAACATATAAAAATAGATCCTTGACCGAATGCATCAAGTCCATGCTGGTATGGAAGTTTACAATTACATATGTGTTCATTAACTCTTTTCAATATTTCTTTGTGACTAACCCAAGTAAAAAATGTGCAAAGACCAAAAATTTAGCCAAACTGAATTTCAGTTACTCAGTTACTCACTAATCATAACCAAATCAGCTACAGATGCTAAAAAAACCCTCCAGTTTTGTCCACAATCCTATCACGTAAATCAATCCAAAAAGACCGAGCATTTTGTCTCCCATTCAAAGCCCTTGAAACTTTACTAATGTTACCATGATTTTATACCAGAGCCAACTAGTGTCTGCTTTTCTCCAAATATCCTTATTTTTTGTAACCCTGCAATGTGTCGCCCTCTTACTTCTCCTCCTTCCCCCCCCGCCCCCATTGTTGTGTAGACTTGTTACTGGGCTTGTGGTATTTTTTTTTATATTTAAAAAAGCTTCTACAGTAAATTTAAAGGCGAAAAGGTCGAACAACCACAGCTGAAATAAGGGCCGAAGTCTGAATAATGGAAAACCTCAAAAATAATATGTAATCCGCTCAGGAAATTCATTATTTTTTAAGTAACTAGGGACTAAGAAATTATATGCTGCAGTGCTCACAAAATTTAAACTAACACAATATACAGATAGTTGCAAATGCTGTTACAGAAAATTCTTGATATATTAGTAGATTTCTTTTGTCACTCACATCCTATGATTAAACAGACAAATGACAACTGCAGTCATCTCAAAGCACAAAGATATTCAAACTACGTTGGAACAACTATATTGTATGTAGTATGCATGAATATGGATAATGACATGCTGCATATGTGCAGTAATTTTATCACACAATGGACTTTTATTAAAGTTGGCAAAGTATTCATTAGAACATCTGAAAACCTGCCTTGTGGCAATGGAGATTACCCTTATTTTATATTCTAACTTTCTGAATTCTGATTAATTCTAACTGGAGAGCAAAACCAAATCCTAACTGAATAAAAATCATCATTTGCAATAGTAAAAGAACAAAACTATATTGTAACCTTCAGGCATTTCTCAAACCCCCAGAAGATGGAATTCTTTCAACATAAGATTTCCAATTTTAGTGAGCGGGGTGGGGGCTAGAACAAACCTTGACATCTGATACCATTCCTAACCACAAAGTATGATCAACTATACTATTTGCACTATTACTCACAGATTACTGTCTGACCTACTCTTTTAAAAATGCCCAACATGTTTTTGTTGTTTGTTTGTTTGTGTTTTTTTTTAATAATATCTAACTTAAATCACGCCTGAAAAGCCTAGAGGACTATGGAGAAGGGAGAGATTCCTGTTACAGAGATCACACAACAAAGGTAAAGAGTGAAGTTGTTCCTCATGGAGCACAAGGAGTGAGGAGAGGAGTATCTCAGAAAAGGAAAATGGAAGTGCAGAGATTAGTTAACATTGTGGAGAATACAACCAATATAGGCCTTGTCTCAGGTCTTCTGCCAACTCCATATGGAGGTGGTTATCAAAGATCCGAAGAGGATACTAGGTAGGATATGAAAGAACAGAAGGCTGAAGTGGAACTATAGAAATCCCCTCTAGCTGTTCAGAAGAAGAGAAAGGTGTAATATTAAAGATAATTTCTATACATTTATTTTATCTTATTTATGACAAAACAAAGAATTTAAGTTTTTATAAATCAGGTAATGCAATGCCCAACTAACAGTGCACCACTGCAGAATCTGTAGCAGAATTAGGTAGCAGAACTCCGTTTCACACTATGTGAAACAAGCCACAAAAATGGTTGCATGGGGAGAAAGGGGAAATTCATCCGTGCTGCCTAGCACTAGTCCTCCAGGCACAGCCATCTTAAACTATCTCCTGACTCTGCATACACGTTCCTAAATTTGTGCCTGTAGAGCATTTCCTTCACTTATTTTTGATCCATGAAATAAAAGCCTTTTCATAGAGTAAATGTATAAATACTCTTTCAGAAAGCTGACCGATGTTCACCATTTTCTTCTGGTGGTCAAAGGAAATGTCACTGTTGTTAAAGAATTAGTAATTAGAATCTTTCAGATTTTGGCATTAAAATCCATGTTACCTCTAGCTTTTTATAATATCTACTTGGATATGCAAGCATTGATCTATTTTTCACTGGTAACTGTTGGATGTAATTCTGACTATCCCCTGCTATGTTGGTAGAAGTGGGAGAGGCAGGGGAACTACACATGTAGTATCTCAAGCATTTCAACTGACTGTTCTTCGCTAACATGCATTTCAGAACACGCGCACTCAGAAAAAAGCCCAAGAAATACACACTACTACTACTATTGAAATACCCTTAAAGTTATCTAAAGCAAAACCAGCGACTAAGCAGTATTTTTGCAAAAATGTGAAGCTTCAGTTGTATCCTTTCAAAGGATACAACCAAAGAAAAATCAGCTATTAGAGTTATCAGCTTATTGTTTCCAATGTAGATGTAAAACTAAATGCTTCTGTGGGATGACTGTTACTGAGAAACTCAACTACAATTCTGCCAATGAGTTTCTAAAATACAAGGTGACTGCTAAACAAATCTATGCAATGATTTCTATTTAAAACAATTTATAGGCTAGACTATGTTCTAGGACTGTGTGACCCTTAACATAAGTCATAATGCATCACACAGGAAATAGCTACCATTTCATCCGAGTATTTTGAAGACTTCCTAACTAAAAGCTTATTCATCCACACTTAAGACCAGACTGAAATAACGTTCCAAACATTTGACTCAGAAAGTGATATTTTTTTTTTTTTAAGCCGACTGGATACTGTAACAGGAGACCAGTTAATACTGGCATACTGATGGTGAAATACAACAGCAGTTGTTGGTAAATACTTGCATCGTGGCTGTAAAGTGTAACAGAAATTTTGTAAGACTTCATTTGGGGGTAGCATACAGGGATGCATGCAAAAAGTGTGCAAAGTCAAAGACTAGACTTTTTAAAATAATCCAAGACTCTCCTTTATTTTCATCAATTATAATGCATAACTAGCTTGATAATTGTAATCAACCTACCTCAGAAAGGAAAAATATTTTGATATGACATTTCTTACATGAAGAGACACTGGGGAATTCTATCACACAAACAGATGAAGACAGAACAACATGAAATAAAATACCTTTTTAAAAATTTTGGCAAAAATCCGTAATTGAGTGCACTAGGAATACGAAGATACAAATAAAATATAATTTTGGAGGCAGGAATAAGTGAGAATGGCAACTTTTCAATACAGCCAAAGACTGAAATATTTATTGAATTAACAAGGTAAAACTTAAGTGCAACAAGCGCTGGCAACAAATTAAAGAACACAAGACAAAAAAACAAACAAGAGCTATCATTGGCTTTCCTTCGTATTGCCTAGAGAAAGACCTACACAAAATAACTAAGACGTAAGAGTACCATGTAAACAAGTACTACTGATTAAAAAACCCTAAGAACAGATGAAACACTACAATAAATTTTGAGACTCTAGTTAATTTAGTTTCCAGTGATACCAAACCCTTCCCCTGAATCCCAGTCCAGGAAGCAAAACTGGCATTTGTGGTATGTGCAACAGAGAAGGCTGAACTTGACATTGACTGATAAATAAATTCACAAAGTCCTTCTCTATGAAGCAACATGAACCACGGCATAAGTAACTGAAGAGAACTTAGAAAGGGATCAAAGGGCAAATACATTCACAGATAAAGTGGAAGATAAGTCAACTGTATGTTCTTTTCTATTACACACACAAAAAGAGAGAAAAATGATGTAGTTTAGGGAATAATAAAAAAAAGAGGAAGAAAGAGGGAGGGAGAGAGAGGGATGGATGAGTCCTTTTCAGCTTTTTAAAATACAAGCAATCCAGCACTTGATGACTGTAAGAAATTGCCATGCTGCCATTATTAAGGGCCTGACACTGTCAGTAATCTTTCAGTTCAATATGAGGATGGACTATGAGGTGGTTATCTATCAGATTGAATTAACCTTTTAACAGTCAGAGGTTAATTTTTAGCATGCATATGAGACTAGTGGGTTTTACCAGGATGATATTTTGCATGAAATAATTCAAGAAATATCAGATAGTGTCAAAAACTACCAATAGTGGGAGGGTGTCTGTTAAGCTCATGCCGTTTGCCAAACATTTCCTACGTTCTTTTTGCAGAGGCTTCATTAAGTATCAGAACAAAATGATTTGTACATCTGAATCTCTGCAGTCTCCTATATTGTGTTTCCAAATCATAACAAAAAAGCCAGCAATATTTTTTTTTTTTAATTAAGAGGGAGTTGCGCATACAGTTCTCATTAGCAAAGCGGGATGCACGCGTTCCTATACTTAATGCAGGTGTTCAAAGAAGTGTATAATGCTTTACGATTTTACGGAATGAAAGGAAATATTCCTTAAAGCTGTCATAAAAGATTTTTTCTTATTCATGAAGCATGCTCTTATGATACCAAGAAATGGACAAATTACTTTAATTACACATAAATATTATATAGAATTTTGAAACTGAGATACGAAAGGTAGATCATGAAGAAAAAACAACTAGATTTGAAGGAAGACAATTAGATTAAATCCAAGAGGTAATTTAGTTTTCTTTTCTGCCATGACTAAGTTTGGCTTTCAGCAGAAATGTATAAATATCCTAAATTTGATTTTTTTTAATGTATACACAAGATATTTACTTTTATTTATTTTTACTTCAATTATACTCAATATGTTAACACATATGACTTATAAATAAAACTGATTCAAATTTTTGTTTAATGTAATAGTAGTTATTTTAACTATTCCCTCTGCCAATTTATTACCATTTTCTTTAGAATTTTGCAATCAAGCTTTAAAAATAATTTTATTTCCTATTTCTATTTTTTAAGAAAGAGTAAAGCAATTATGAAATGCGTAAAAAAGTGAAATACAGAAATTTGAAAATCACAATTCTGCCAAAGATATAAATTAACTACATGATTGTGAACAGCTACATCCATCTTGGAACACAGCCATCCTTGGGACAAAATGAAGGAAGTAATATACGATATTTAGGACCCAGGATTTGAATTTTTCAATCAACTTTGCTGATGTAATTTTTAGCTACAGGAATTTTGACCCTTAATATAAATGCAGTTGTGAGTAACTGCAACATGGTGGGTTTTATTAAGTCTTCCAAAGATGTCTTCTTTCAGAAAAGCAATTCCTTTTAAGGTTATATTAGTTTTGAGATTCTCAGTGCAGGGAAACGCGAGATTATTAAAGTGTACAGCATATTTACATACCAACACCTCTTCACTTGTCTATGAATGCACTAACACTTTTAATCACAACTACATAACATAGATGGCTACAGCAATTCTTCTTATGCAAGAGTATTTTTAATTCAGTTCTATTTCACAGCTGGGAAAAAGTCTTCTGTTGTAAGACCAACAAGGCCAACAAAGACTACGTGCATAAAACAACAAGAATTCCTGAATGACATAGCAGCAATTTAAAGGAAAGAACATTGAATATAACCAGTATCTGACTTACACTATGTCTCTTCCAACCAAAATGACTGAACCCAGCTCTAAGATGTCACTGTTGCAGCAGCTTGTGGCAAGATTGTTTAGTGCATGAAAACTGAAAATCTGAGTTCCTTAGAGATCTCTGCTAACTAACTACTGAGTGAAAACCAGGGCAGATCTAAACATGTTTGTATATATTCTGTACATACTGAGACATTGTATTAATGTCTTTATTAAGACTTTATTAAGACTTAAAATTGGAACTCTAACTATACCCAAACACTCAAAACTTCATGTTCTTGTACTAATTGTACTAGAACTTTATGCCAAAGGTATTAACAGATGATGTATCCTGAGAACAATTTCAGGATAGAAACTCAGTACAGACAGAAGAATTATTCCTCTTCTTACATTACTGCTGAAGCAAATTACACAGTAAGTAAAGAATGATTTTGGTAAGTCCCAAGGAATGCATTTTCCATTAGTTTTGAAAGTGTAACCTTTAAATTCAATAAAAAAAGTCTTCACGCTCCACACACATGAATGGAAAAAATAAGAACTCAAGTAGCCAAAAAAAATCCTACTTATTTCCCATGGCTTTTAAGCAAAGACTTTATGGTTTACTGCATAAAATGTCTTTCAGAGTTACTAAGTTGAAATCTTGATACTACACATTAATGATATCATTTTTATCTCCTTTTAATTTAGTATCAATTAGACTATCGTTTTAAAACAGTTCTCTTTCATTCCAGGAACACTGAGCATTTTATAAAATAAACGAAAAAAGCCACACATTCAAACAGCTCTTTGCTGAATAAGCCCAACATTAGTTTAGATTTAATGAAGAAATCAAGGATAGAAAATAAATCAGAACAAGCTATTAATAAGTCATACATTTCTACTATTCATTCCTAATGATTTTGTTGGGAATACGGACAGGGCGTCTATGGAAAATCTGCCTACTGCTCAAAGTAGTATTTCTGAGTTCCCTAGGGGTGTTAAAATCACAGGCCTTTTAGATTTTCAATTTATGTGGGACAGAGTAGCTCAACTAAAGCTATTAAACTGTGATTTATACCAGTTGATGATCTACCCTTTACAAAATCTCATACACAGAGTAATCATTCTAAGAGCTATTCCCTTCTCTCTTAGCAGGCAGAAGATGGCTTAAGTTAAAATATGACTTTTTTTCCCCTGAGTACTACCTGGTCATTTATATAGGAATTGATATGGTGGTAACCTCAAAGAGCAAATATATAATTCATATAATCAGAGAAAAAACTAAAACAGTTCCTTAACTGAGACAAGTTTTGAGTTATCACAGCTATTACAAAGAAAAGTCAAAGATGATTCTTTCTCAAGTCTCTTGCTGCTATTGCAGTGACTTGCAAAGCCTGCATATCTGCCCTCCTGATCTCTCCAACCGTGAGCTGCATTGGAGGGATAAGAATAACAGCTTTATATATTCATGTGCACTACTAGAAGAGTGGGATGGGGGACCTTTTGACAAGGAAAAACTCCTGTACTACAAAACCTTAACCAGCATTTTTCAAAGTATTTAACCATGTTTCCCTTTTACTTCCAGTTACAACTAACTAAATACATGGGTTTGAAGCAGCTATAATCATAGTACTATGAGCTGCCAGTACCACTGTATTAGTATGGTACTGTTCTTAGGCTGTGTAATCCCACCTCCTAGTAAGGCTAATAAATTTGGGTAAGCGGACAAGTTCACATACACGTACTGGTTTTAAACTTGACTCATTTGATGACAGAATGGATGAGAGGGTCTGTACAGTTCAGTGCTGAGCTATGCATGTCTTCTCTCTCCTATTCTCATGCCTTTTATTCCTATCCCACCAGGAGAAATTATAGTGTACGTAATTCCAAGACAGACCAGTTTTCTTCACATTGTATCTAGTTAGCTCAAAATGTTGCTTTGGAAAAAAAAACCCCACAAGTCACAACAAAAAGCCAGTCCACAACCTAGTTAACAAGACTAGTTCACTTGTTGTCTTGATAGAGGGCCACGATGGCCCAGTAAGAATAAATGAATAAATGCTTATTTATTTAAGCAAGCATATAAAGCACACAGGCACAGAAAAAGCCCAACACTACTATTTCAATAATGTTTTTGAACAAAATGCATACCTGCAGGTGTGATCATCACTTACACTTGCAACTTCTTGACCTTCTTTGGGAGCAAACACCAGATCATTAATGTAATCTGAGTGGCCATGAAATGTCTGTCAACCAGAAAAAAGAAATACTTTTACCTTAGAGCTGACTGTTCCATCAGTCCACAATGTATTTAATAGACCCACTAAAGGAAAGATGTATAACCGTTAAGATAAAGCTATCATTTTATATGGAAGGTAAAAAAAGTTCTTTAAAATAGCTAATTCATGTGTAGATTCATATTGTAGGTGAAAAGACTCCCTGCTATTCCTTGTAGTTACCACAGAAGTCAGCGCGATGCTCTGGCTTGACAGAGATCAGTGAATCACACCAGGACTTTTTATCCTCCTTTCAACCACTGAATTTTGAACATAGAAGATAATAAATCTCAGAAAGAAAGAGGAGAATGAACAGGAAGTGAATGTATGCATGATCTACATATCTTAAAGAACTCTGATTACTAGTAAGTAACTCTTATCTCTGAATAGTAGTTTTTACTAGGGGTTCCTGCAAGCAGCAAGAGAGTTTTTTCCTGAAGAAGCAATAAACCAGCCACTTGTCCATTATATGCCCTTTTCCAAGCAGTCAGAACACAAATTGCCTAAGAGAAGATGTCCACTAAAAATGGCAGACCAAAAGGCTACCTTTAGAAAAAACAGTGAAAAAACTCTCAGTGAAAGAAGATGAAACAGAAGACAATGCATACTGAAGACTTTAAGAAAACCAAAGATGAGGAACAACAGTACAAGCAAAAAACAGGCAAGCCATACAACACCTTAGCAATTAAGCACAATTTCCATTAAGCATTTGAACAGAACAGACACAGTGCTTTGTGCGCTCTGCTTTATATGCTGTTGTGCTGAAGAGGAAAGAAAATGGGGTATAGTGCACATTCTTCTTTTACTGTGAATTAATAGATCATCCATTCTCAAATAATAGGATATGAGCACTCATGGTGTGAATGTACATGTGAACTGTCACTCAAAAGCAAACATTTACAGTTGCATCAGAAAGCATGAAGTCATCTCAAAGGGAACCTTGTTACTGTGCAATTGTTCTTGCCTGAAGCTTCTTAATAATGACATTTTTATTTCAAAGTACTGAAAATAATTTATCTATAACAAAAAACAACTTAGCAGCATAGCTTTTCTGAATAAAAGCAAAATCCCAGTTTTAGTAAAAATTAAAAGTTAGATAATTTTTACATATTTTGAAGGCTTTTCAGCTATCTTGGCCATGATATCAAGACACCTTTTTCTTCTCAATTTTATTAAGTTTTTTGTACTTATCTACAGACATCAGTAATCTTTTGAGGTTTACAGTATCCTCAAAAACCTAAGTTAAAGAACTTATACACATTTAGCATTAAGCAAGCATGCAAAACTCATCTCATTTAGGGTGCTGTCAAAGTTTAAAGTACATTCAAATTCATTCACATGGGGACTAGGTATGAATAAATTATCTCTAGTCTCATTGTAAAATCTGTAGCTAGTTAAGATACCAGTTTGCTCCATCTGAGGATTTATATGTATTTTCTCTCATTAACTATATCTATGGTCTTTTTGACAGAAATCTCACTTAAAATTTTAAGTCAGGCAAATGTCCATGTATAGATGTTGTATCTGTTACGGTTCCATCCTCTTCAGTCCCACTGATTAAGTCTCAAGGCATGGCTGCTCTTGTTTTGCCCAGCAAGGTATCATAAAAAGGAGACGAAAATATCCTCTGGATAATAGCATCACATGGAGAGATTGCAGAGGAAAACAAGGTCAAATGAAAACAACCAGTTCCACAGTTTTCTAAAAGGAAAACACACTGTTGCTGTTCTCTAAGTGTAGCTATTCTGAGAAACAAATGCAGAACTGATTTAAAAAAAAAAACAGTCAAGCGTGCACAAAAACTAAATTCCCCTCTCTAAAAATTTTATGAATGCCTCATCAATTCAATACAGAAACATTTTCAGCAGCCAACTTAATTTTTTCCAATAGCTCATAATTTTATTAAAACCTAGTGGATTATACTAGAACTAATACATCCTAAGATGATGTTAAACTATTTAGACAGAAATACCAAGTCTTTTGAAAATTTTCAGCATTCTGAATTCAAATTTCCTGCCTCTTTTTACTTCCACAGTTCTGATGAAATATGCTTTTTATTAAACAAAATTTGAAGCAGGAGAAGGAAGCCACAATTCATTTCCAAATTAAAACCTCAAAAGAAGAAAAAGATTTCACGAAGATCCATCAGTCATATTTTACCTTTTGTTTGTTGTTCTGCGCTTGATCCAACCCATAAATTTTGGATTAGTTGAGTTGACAAAGTAATGGAAAACTCTGTAAGCTTCAAGTTCCTTGTTGATAATTACATCAAGACAGTTTTTCCACTGGGAAAACAGAGTAAGATTACTCTGTCCATCCCTCCAGAAGCAACACATACTAATTGTTTACTATAAAAGACAAAATGTTCAGAGATTACATTTTGACTGTAATCACATACTTCCTTCAGCTTTGTTTGCACATTTTGTACCTCTCCTGAAAATCCCATGTGTAAAGTGTGCACCGTACAATGGATCAAAGTCTTCCCTGTGTTCATCGTGGGTTTAACCTCAGGTTTATGAA